CTGATTGACAAGCTAGACCCCACCCCTATACTCTTAATCGTCAAATTGACAAACGATTATATATCTACCACACGTAGTTTTGAAAAAAGTTTGGGTTTTTGGGGGGTACCCCTGGTATAAGGATATCGCTGCTTGATGACACAGATTTAGAAAGTCATTTCTAAGCTCATGGTAAGGGTTTAAGATGCTGTCTTTATTCTCCAAGTTCAGTTATTTCAATAGCAGACCTCGTTCTTTTGGGATAGGATGTGGAACCATCTGATGAATGATCTAAGCAGCATAATTAATAACCTAAGAGGGAGTATCCACGGGCTTGAGGGGGAAATGGAATGAAAGGGTAATTGATGGCAGCAGAGAGCGCTGGACTTCCTATAGCGTTGAATGGGCAGTCTGAGACCCTGTGTCCAGGCCTCTTTCAAAGACAAGGGAGAGCGACGAGGGAGCACCAAGGAAGCCAGGGAGTGAATGGTTTTAAAGTCTGATGCCGAAGGAGGGATTCATAAAATACCCTGGGAGCAGCCTGGAGAAGGAAGAAACTAGTTGTGACAGGGAGCATGATGGGGCATGAGCCGTGCGTAAGGGACTTGTGGTGTCTGAACCCAGGGAGCTGCAATGGGCTGAGTCATGTAGTGAGGCTTCCGACTCCTCAGAGCATTGTGTAGAGTACTTGGCGTGGGCTAAGCGACACCATTTGTTTCTGTGGGCTTGTGTCTTCTTCTGCCCAAACACATTAGGAAGGATATTAGGGTCCCCGAACCTGCAGGGTCTCAGGGCCAACACATATGCTAAGGTAATCAGCAGGCTCTGAAGACCGTTTCTGGGTGGCGGCACCCTCCCTTCAGCTCAGCACCTCCCCTTCAGTTCAAGCATTCAGCGGCCGACATTCTATTTCAGAAGTCTGGCCCGTCGTCTTCAGGAGAAGGTAGCACTTTGACAGGACTTCTCTGGATGCAGCCCACGCCTCCCAGCCACTTCTCTGCCTTGGCTTTTAACCCTTTCTCTCCAGGTGGCTTTCGAGTTTTGACTGGGTGGTTGTGTTTGTGTTGATCCAGAGGGGGGTTTGCTAGGCAGAGCATGTCATTCCACAAAGATAGCTTGGCAGGTGCAGAACCTGTGCCAGGCCCTGGGCTCTGGGGTAATCAGCCAGATCCCCTCGGTCTCATTGCAGGAAGAGCCCTAAGTTCCCCCAGCATGCTGTGGCCACAGTGGCCAGCACGTCCCTTCCAAAGGTGAATGCAGTGCCAGCCCCAGGAAAATCGGGCTGTGCACTTCCTCAAGATGTGCAGTTCCTCAAGTCGAACACGATGAGGAAAGGAAAGAACACCCCCCCCCTCCCCCGCCACTTCAGCACAAGCAGAGCATCCCATCAGGGGAGAGCTGCGGGCCCTATTTTTCCTTGGCCTTAAAAGAGACAGCAGCACACAACAGAGTCAAGCCAAACTGGAAGCAACCCAGCTTCTTTCTGTTGACGGATTAAGAAAAAGGCTTTGTTGGGGGACGCAAAGAGGGTTTTCTCTCCCCCACTCCCTGCTCTGTGTCCAGCAATGTAATTTCCTCCCCTGATTTCTGGGCAGAAAGTTAACATTCCAACAAGATGTGCTTTAATTGATTGCAGCCATTAAACCCCTTGGCTCGCATGCTTATGTTCCAGGATATAAGAGCCACATGGAAGTTTAAATTTAATCATTCGTCTTTCTCTAGGTAGGAAACTTGACAAACGCCTTGGGGAGCGGAGTGGCGAGGGGGCGGCGCTTGGTTTGCACACAGCGGGCCTTTGCGATAGAGGAGAATGAACTTGACATGTCAATGTATCTTTTGGTGCCTCTAAGTTTTTTGACCTCTGGCTTCCAAATGGGTCGGCGTGACACGCTGGGAGTCTAGCTATCCTGGGAGTACTCAAAGGATTAGGAAAGCCATTTGCTTTGCATTCTAGCCCAATACCTTCATTTCCCTATTCTCTTCCACAGGCTACCCTTCCTAGCAGAACTGCTTCCTGGCCAACTTGGTGGGGAAGGCT